ACTGGTGCTACATAAATACCTAAGGTCACTAGCTAGGTAGAGAATTAACTGACATAGGAAGATAACCGAGCTAGAAAATAGCTCTATCCCCTTACTTGCAACAGGGACTGGGAATTTTTCAGACATAGGTGCAGTGCCATAGCAACAAAGTTTGGCACCCGGGGCAAAGCCCGCAGCAGCAGCCCACTCTCACCCTGTGCAAAGATCCGGGGGCACACCCCCAAGCTTGCCTGGGAGTGCATGCAGCAGCAGCAGATGTCCTTCCCCCATCCCCGTGCCCCCCACCCGCAAATGAGACGCTTGTAGCTCCATCCCACTCCCCACCCTGGCTGGGCAGCACCTGTTGGCACCCCTTTGCTTTGGCGCCTGGGATGGTTGTCCCACTCCCCCCTCTCCTTCCCCCCTTGCTATGGCACTACATAGGTGTGATCATTGTAGCTGGACATGTCAGTAGAACTGCTTCCGTGTCTTGCATAATAGCTGTGTTTAACAACTCTCCAGCAGAAACATAATATGAAAGTGTACAGTCCACTTAGGACATGCTCAAATTAAGTCATATTGCTCTCGAACAAGCATTTGGCTGAGTTACCTTAATAGAAACTGCTCTTTCAATGCAGTGACTGTAATCATGGAACACATTGAAAACAAAAATTAAACTAAGGTGCAGTTCATTTTTTATGCAAATCAAGGTATTTTATTTAGCCCAGAATCCTTATTTCTTTAACAAAGAAAATCAACTTTCAGAAGAAAGTAGCATCACAATGTTAAACTATCCCTGCTGCAGGCCAGCACATGCTTATGACTAGAGGTCTACCCAACTCAAGGAGACAGCTGGCCTATTCTGGGGGGTGATCATGGTGCCAGCTGCCATTTTTGTGGGCTGACTGTGGCACCTCTCCCACCGTCTCTGTGTGCTTGTGGCTAAGGGGACCTTGTAGTCACAGGCCTTGTCACCTGCTGGCTCTCTCTGGGGAGCCAGCATTTTATTTTCAGTAAGTTTCCCCACTCCCCCTGCCACCTGGATTTCACAGGTCTTACCTGATTTTGCAGGCAATGCCAGATTTTGCAATTTCTGTGAAATTCCAATTTTGGTAGGTCCCTACTTATGACAAGTCTGTAACCAGATTATGCACCACAGGATTTAATAAATTCCTAGATAGTGGCCTAAGATCATACACAAGCTGCTTTAGCTCATTCATGAGTATTTGTGACCTACTGAGGGTATGACAAGATTGTCATGCTAGCTAGATTTTTAACTTATAAGAGAAGCTCTCCTCTTCCAATGGGCAACAAACACTATATCCCTTCCATGGAAACATTAACAGCGAGCCAAGTGTTTCAGGCAAGGACTAATTTTATTCTGTGTTTGAAGCAGAATCAACATTAACAAAACTATTGATCTTATATTATGGGGGAGTGAATGGATTAGGAAGTTATCCCTAGAGAACCAGTTCCTATGTGGACTGGATCCATATTGCTTTTCAGCTGCAATAACTTTTCCTAAAGTCAGGTAGCAAGCCAGATCCCAGTAATCTCTCCCCCAATTCCCTAATAAGAGTTAACTACAGGGAAATTCTACCCTGACAACAAATAATTCATGTTGAACATTTGGTGGCTGGGAAGGATTGTAAGGTCTCAGGAATAAAACAGGTGACAGACAATGAACTCTTCTGCTCCCTAAAAGGCAATGTTAAGTAATGTCAAGTCTGATGAAAACATTATCTGGGAGAATCAGAACTATAGCTGAATCAAGCATCTCTGCAGATATCCTGTGGAAAATTTGAAGCATGCTGGGGTAAGATTTTTTCCAGGATTCTTTTTTGTTTTGTATAGGAGTTACCTAGGTAAGAGACAGGAGAAGTCTTTTAAATTACCAGTGAGAATTCCCCTGAAACCTTTGTGGTCCCATAACTCCATTCATAACTGAGTGGGAAAGGGGAAGAAATCATTTACTTCTATCTAAGGCCTCAGTGCCAAGTCTTGGACCCAAGAAAATATCTGCAGCACAGCACAGAACCAACCAGCTCTTCCTGATGCCAGGCTGAGCACTGACTTGTGCTCACTTAATTGATAGCTGTGGCTGACTGTAGTTATTACAAAGTGAAGGGTATGATATGAATGCAATGACTGTCAGGTATCAGCACTATAAAAGGGCAACATACTGGTTACTGTATTTTATATACTTACCTGTTGGGCCTTCCAAAGTCATTGTAATCACAGTACTGTCATCACAGAGTAGAACACCAGATCAACTAAATGCTAGGATAAAACTTTATAGAGATTAATACCTATAAATACATATAAACATCCTCATAATATAAATTTTCATAGAATAATTTTTATAGGTAATGGTGATAGTATTTACATTCAAAATAGCACATAGTTCTCAAAAGATCTACATATCAAATGAAAATTAAACCACAGCGCACATTATGGAGTGGATACATATCTTCATTTTAAAACAGAATAAACATTGATAAATATCCTCTTAAATATCAAACAAACATTAAGTGTACCTTAGCTGAATAAGATGAGTCATTCCATAGACCCCATCACTATAGTCCATCCATTGACTCCAGTTGGCTATGAATCAGACCCTTAGGCAATACCCTGACTGCCTATACATGACCTGGTGGGGTAGGGGGGGAATGGGACATTTTAATTAGAGTGATTCTTGTGCAGCTGCTCTAATTAAAATGCCTTGCTGTCACGTGTATTAAGCCTCCACATGTTTAAAAATGGCTGCAGGACACTTTATCTAAATCTCATTTGGAAAGGTCTAAGGCACCCCGTGGCCATTTAAAAATGCGCGGGGGTTTAATACACCCGATGCTGTGGCAACACTGCAGTGTTCCAGTTAGAACGCCAACAAGCATATGTATAGGCAAGCCCAACAGCTTCAGGTGCTAAAAAGTAATTAATCCTGATGCCACTTTACATTATTGCCATTTTAAAGATTAATAAGTGATGTACAGTTACAGTGGAAGATGCATCCAAGAACCACAGCAAATGAGGGGCTGAAAATGGGATGGAACCTGGTCTTCCTGCTCTCATGTTTAACCACCAGAGCATAAGTTAGCCAGTGCCAGCCCCATCAAATGATCACGTCTTTAAGACACAAAGGAGGATTTTAGATACAGTAGGAAGGACTATAAATTTTATTCTCTAAATTTAATCAGTTACTTGATAATTCTGAGCACACTACAGTCAGACTAAACATTCTAGTCCACAATTCCTAGCATGCCACCTTCTATTTATTACTCTTGTTCTCTGTAGGAAAAGTTTAGCTTCAGAAAAACAGAAAAAAAAATTCTCATTAACTACTGACTGAGGTTTATGTCTATTGGAAGCCTGAATGCAAGCTCTTGAATCTAACAAAGTTGGAATTCCAACTGCAGTACAGCACAGTACCCACCAATTCTCCCCGAGGCAGAGCTGAGCACTGATTTGTAATCAATGTCCAGATAGCTGTGCTGAGGTTAAGGTAATTCTAATAAAGGATGTAGCGTGAGTGTTGTGCCAACCAGGTTTTAATTTCCCAAAAGGGCAATGTGCTGGCCATTATATGTTTGTGCTTCTCAAGTAGTTACAATTTTATCATCAGCCCCTAGGGAGATCAATAAAGAGAATAAAAGCCCTTTTATTGACTTTAGGGAGAGTCAATGACAAAGCAAAGTCTGTATTGTACATAGTTAAACAAGAACTGGGAAATACCCTACATATCAAAATGAAGCGACTCTTCCTTTCATTTCAGGATTGCAAAGTGCCAAAAATTAATTAAGCCATACAATTCTTATGCAGTGACTAATTATCCTAAATGTTATCATGCTGAAATGTGTGACTTACCCAATGGTCTACAGAAAGTCAGCAACAGGGTGAGAACCAAACCCTACTTTTGATTTTTACTCTTGATCCAGCTACTAGAAAAAATAAATAACTTGAGTTTTTACACAATCAGAGGTTCACTGACTTCATATTTAGAAACGAAAGTGGTCCAGGGACATGATATTTCAGCAAAAAGACACATACAACTGTAATAAAGATGGTGCAAATAGTTCAATTTTCCTTCGTCACTTACCATTTTTATCTAATTGTCTAAAGTAAGGTATATGAAAGGTTTCTATAGCAAGCATTAAGTCAGTTTTGGTCTCTAATACTTGCTATGGGTCTTAATGGCAGATAAAATGCATCTGATAGTATTTTGATATCCTTGCCTGAAAGCAGAATGTGGGCCTAAAGGTTCATATTTTGATGAAGGTATGAGTCATGTTGACAACAAATAAGAGTTGCCCCTTTGAATCTTACAAGATTATTTCTATAAAGACTTTAATTGAAGCTTGATATCTAGCAGTAAACCTCCCAAAATATAATTTATTCTTGTCAGAATACTTAATCAAAAGTTGTATTTATTAAGCGTTCAATATTATAAAATTACTCAATTTTCTTTAAGTGAATTTTAAATATGTTCCCGATTACAAAGAACAGTTAAAGGAAAACAGACACAGAGACAGAAAAATTATTTGCTGAGGCTTCCAAAATAATCTAAAGAAAAAGTGACCCGAGATGGACAAATGAAAGGAAGGGGAAGACAATGCAAAATTAAAAGTCAGTTGAGGACAGGGTTTTTTTTCAAAGAAAGTCTGCTCCATAAAAAAATGTATTTTATCTAGAAGCAAAGCTATCTTATTTGACACTGATGCTGTCCTCCTTCCATATGTCCAAGACAACTTACTATACTTAAAACTCCTGTGTTCCAAAAGAAACAAGATCATTCTGGGCTACTTTAGCAATAATTAGCATATGTGCGGTGTGATCAGACACGAGAATGCCAGCTAAATATCAGCATTCCAAAAAAGGAAGTTGTTGATGTTTGTCACCATGGAGCTGCTGTCACAGAGGTTTCAGAAATGTTCTAGAGCTTGGATGGCAATAGCTACTAGAGGAGGTTATTGAGGCGAGCCTTCTAGGTCATACTTTTCTTCACATGGTGAAGAAATGCAATGGAGGCTTTAGAGGAGGTGCTTTCATGCCCAGTGTGCTTGGAGCTGTTCACCCCACCAGTACTGGTCCTGGTCTGTGCTCACAATTTCTGCAAGCAATGCCTGGAAAAGATACTCACTATCCAGAACTGTACTCATGTCAATGGACACTTCTGCTGTCCTATATGCAGGAAAGTAAGTAGGGACATTCATTTTGTCATCTTTGTAGTCAAAGGGTCTCTCTCATTTGAAATGTCAGGTATAGACAGACATTTCCTAACTTTGAAGGACTACAGTGTCAAGTTACAAGGGGTAGGCAGCCTCAGCCAGGTTGGTGACTCTTCAGCAAAATGCCACTATCTCACTAGCAGCTCTGAGAGGGCTAACATTGGACTCTGCCAAGCTCTTTACAGCCCCAGGGGGAAGTGGCAGCCATCTTGTCACAATGTCTGCTTACTTTAGTTGAGTGGTTTTCAACCTGTGGTCCACAGACCCCTGGGGGTCTGCAGACTATGTCTAAGAGGTCTGTGAAAGATAATTATGATCAATGACAAGTATGGGAATACCCACACTTACAATTCAAAGGGGTCCAACACTTCCATTCAATATATCCAAGGGGGTCTGCAAAAGAAAAAAGTTGAAAACCACTGCTTTAGTCCATCCAGCTTCTATTCCAGCAAACGATAAAATTCAACTTCCTTGCAGAAATACATGCTGCATTTCTGGAGGGCCTGTTTTGGGGGGAAAAGGTGTATGGGGTATGATATTAGGAGCTAAATTCTGTACTTGAAAGAACAAATGCAGTTCTTTCCAGTTCACAGTGCGCTCTGCACACTCTCACACAAAGGTGGGATTTGGAAAATGGGCCTGGTGTTACATAATTGAAGGAAACTGCAGTCTGGATTACAAAGATGTGGTATTTCACTTCAGTTCAAGATTATAATAATATAAATCCTAATTAAAGAATGCTGATGTATTGTTTACAGTACCTACAAATGAGATCAGTAGAAAAGTATCTTCATCTTTTAAACCTGTGTAACCTTTTTACTTTTAGGTCATATATTTAAGGGGTAGAGGAATACCGGGATTACAAAGAAACATTCTGGTTGAAGGCATACTTGAAAAATTTAAGGATGTACTTGAAAACATTCGTGCCCAGGAGCAAAAACAGCTGTCCCAAGTATGTGAAAAACATGAGGAATATATGAATGTGGTATGACTTTACATTTTCCCTTTAGCTGTTTACTAAGTAAATTTGTTTCAGGTGTTTAGCATAAACTGGAAAAAAGATGTACTTAGTTTAGTGGAGTACTGTAGTCTAATCAAGCTATTATCTTTATAAAAGTTTAGTGACAACCAATCAGATCATTTGATTTTTGTAGATTACAAAAAGAGATAATGGAGCCAAGCCTGCTATCTGAATAATCTTATCCAAAACAATTACTTTGATCTAGATGAACGGTCTAATCAGTACAGAGCTTTTCACAATGAGTAGAACTATCTGCCCCTTAAAAATCAGCCTCAGCCTCTGCACCACAAATCATCATAATCATTTATTATTTATTGTCATCACAACTTATTTAGGGCTTTACATTTTCTAAGCACCTCAAGAAATTATTCAATTAGGGCCAGAATATACCACCATTAGTCACACCAAGTTATACTTTGTTCCATGGAGCTATTCAAAGATCACAATTTAGCAAGTTAAACAAACATATGCTCAGCTGTAACCATGAGAGAAGTTTCAGTGAAGCAAATCTCAGCAAGTGCTTGTTCCTGCAGTTGGACTGCTGAAGTAGCCTTCTCACGCCCTCTCACGGACACAGCAAGCAGCCATTTATTAGAAGAATGAAATAAAAATGCAATCATTAAATTATTTAGCTCAAGACAACAGTCTCACTCCAATAGTTTGGACATCCATCAAGAGCCACTATAGTTTCTGTACTAGTGGTTGAGAAAACATTAAACAAAACCACACACACACACACACACACACACACACACACACACACACACACACACACACACACACACACACACACACACACACACACGCGCGCATGCATGCACTTTCATGAGATACACACTGTCCAATTTTTGTTAAAGAATTACACCTGCACTTTGAATCCTTCCACTTACTTCCCATTTCACTGCCACTTATTCTCATACTCTGAATCCTTCACACATCTCTGCTTTTCTTTCTTACCGTGTCACCTCAACCATTCCAAAAAAGGCAGCTTCAAGAACCAGGTAATTAAACTTCTTACTAACACAATTCTGGGACTTCCTTCATGTGTGAAACCCCTTCCCTGAACTAAGTCACTATTTTCTTTCAAACATCTCCTTGAGTCCTATTTCTGCCATAATGTAAGACAAACTAATACAGGCTTGATGGGCATATAAATATTAAAACAGTTATATACACACAATATATATAGCCTCCCTCCAACATGTGCTATTTAAATGCTTTTGAGATATAGGGAATATTGTTTTTGGGGGTGTACTATAATGTGGCTTAAGGAATAGTTAATGTACCATTGGATGATTTCAATGGAGCTGACTGTTGCTATAATACAAATTTGCTTCTTCAACTTCATTCTGAATATTTAATTTTGGTAATTGTACCAGTACTTACTTAGCAGACAGACCCATCCAACTGCTGGGCCAACAAATCTTGAATGACCAACAAATCTTGCAATAACACCAGATGTTGGTGTGTTCTTTTCTCAGACATGTGTGACTGATGATGAACCAATAGGTGCAATCTGCAAACTCTTTGGAACCCAGGAGCACCGCAGCGTTGCACAAGTGCTTCAGAAATCTGAAGACAGGCCACAAACTAGGAAGGTACAAGTGACTCATTTGCCTCATATACAATCCCTTGATGTCTGCTAGAAAGTCAGTCAGGTGCATGTAAATTTGGATACTAAGCAGTCAATTTGTAGATCTTCAGTAGAGGATTACATTATATGAGATACCGGGGTTCAGTGAAGTAAGCATTAAAGTACATTCTGGCTGTGTCTCATCAGTCCTTCTGTGAGCTTGGCCAAATAATTAAGACAAAGAGGTTAAAGAGTCCCTAAGTGTAAATTTACTACTTGCTCTGTGGTGATCTGCTTTTATACTAAAATATGAGATTCATGAAAAGAGTCTGGCCCAGAGGCTGCCTAGTTGGGCTTCCAATTTCTAAGTCTAGCTATTTCCAATACACTTAGAAACACTGGTTCTAGGATCCACCAGGCCTAGGATCGCTTACTAGCCAGGCAGTGGCATTAAGAGAACCACCCCCCCCACCACCCAGAACCCACACCAACATTCAGGCTCTCAATACCAGGAAACCTAAACAATTGCCCATCTTCCCTGCTCCTTCTCAGGGCTTCTCCCCATGCTCTCTGTCCCTCCTGGTCCTTTACTAAGCATAAATACCCAATGAATCATAGAAAAGTAGGGCTACAAGGGACCTTCAGAGGCCACCAAGTGCAAGTCCCCCGCCCCCTATCAGGGGCAGGATCATGCCTATGCAAACCATCCTATACACATCCATTGTCTAACCCGTTTGTAAGACTATACAGTCACCTTGGAAACAACCACAAGGCATAACACTCTAATGACAAAAGACCCCCTGATGTGTCACAATGGGAGGGGAAAAATATTCCTTCCTAGCCCCATGTGGCAACCAGTGAAGCCCAGAAGCATGGGAAATACCCATAGTAAAGCAAAGTAGAGCATAAACTGTAAGGTTTCACAGATTCTTATAGGAAAGAAAACTCCCAACTTTCCCAGGATAAGACACATTGGAAATCATTTTAAAGGACTGACTTTGAAAAGTGGCCTGCAGCTTATCTGTTTAGTAAGTCAGGCAGTGACTCAAAGTGTTCAAAAGTGTGGCCACAATTATTTACATCTGTAACTGGTTTTGAGCGTTGACAGCAGGCAGAATTGAAACAATTTTAGAATTTATAACTAGATTCCAAAGTATCCTTGAAAATGTTAAATCTTGTCATCTCAAACTATTTCAATACTACTTGTAGATGCTACTAAGAAAAATTTTCATTAACTCTTTTAAAACAGGAAGCAGAAAAGCTTATCAATGGACTCACATCCAGTACTATTGACATCCAGGTGATGATAGATACAGTTGGGACCAGTTTGCTGAATGGAATAAGCTGCAGAATTGCAGCATTAAAAGCAAAATTACAGGAAGACTACTATACAAAATTAGAGAAACTGCAACCAGCATCAAGTGAAACTGAACCCCCCATGCAGCTTTATCAACAAATGAAAGCTTTCCTGGAACAGCATTCAAATTCAGTACAATTTCTTCAGGAGGATAAAAAATTCAAGGAAAAAACAGAACAAATTATAGAAGGAAGCTCATTCTGTCAGGTTCCTACAAAGTATAAGATTTCCATGAAACAATACTTTGAAGAGTTAATCAGAGGAATCAATATCAAGGATTACCTCTCTCCTACAGCAAATAAAGCCTTTCCCAGTACCTCTGACCTACGCGAAGCATGCATGCCCCTAGGTCCTGCTTTTGACTTTTCAGGTGAAAGTCCAGATCAGACCTTCTGCAGAAGAGTACTGGGTGTATTTGAGAAAACAAATGATATGGAACAAGATTGTTCAGAAAAGCATCCTACCATGCCTGCAACAACACACCAAACAGTAACCAACCCTCTTGAAAGTTAGTCAAAATATAAAGACACTCCCATAGTTTGTTATAATTTACTATATTTGCTGCCTATATTTCCTACAAATAATAAAATTAAATATAGTTCTAAATGCCAACATGGCATCAAACATGGCACTTGATACATACTCAGGATCATCTATGTCACATTGTTTCATCATTCTTTCACCGGCTATCATAAGTGTTTGGAAAGTGAGCTAGGATAGCAATATATGGAACAGAGCAGAATCCCTTGTGAAGAGAACCAACCTAAAAAAATTCAACTAAAGAAACATCCTATACTGCAAATTTGGTTGCAAAGTATCTCTTACTATTCACCGGGTATGTCCAGACAGGCAATTAAGGAGGAACAATGAACTTGGGCACTTACTGCACTAGAATTTGTTTCTCCCAAGTGCACCGTTTGAACATGTGCCTGGGACCACAGCACATTGAGCTGGGTCCGAACAGCCCTGGCTGGCAGGAACTAGGCACTATGAAACTATGAGGCCCAGCAGGGTCAACCTGCCAGCCTGGGACTGCTCCGGCCTGCCTCAACGTGCTGTGGAGGGGCTGGCTGAGGAATAAGGGTGCTCCAGGGGGGATAGTAGTTAGATAGCTGCCTGCTAGTGAGGGGATAGCTAGCACGCAGCTCCTGCACTGAAGCACCCTCATGCCCCAGCCAGCTGCATCAGCGTCTACATGTGTAAAATAAGTACTACCCTGCTGTGGAGTTTATTAGTTTACTCTAGCCTAATAGCCCTGCACATTGTAGATGTGATTTGTTTACTGTGGAGCTAATTAGCCTAATCCACAGTAAATGTCTTGTGTAGACATGTCCACTGTGTAATTTATGGCTTGATTTGTACAAGTGCTGAGCACCTGCAACTCCAGCTGCACTAGGCAGGAACAGCAGGTGCAGAGCATCTCTGAGAAACTGGAAACTTAAAGCCCCAGTGTGAGCCACAGGAAACCAAGACGAGGCACAGTGAATTCCACATAAAGTACCTGTTAATGTAAGTCAATGTGCTCTGTAAAGGAAATGCTGAAATTTTTTAAACGTTTGTTTCCAGGAAAGAGCCAGATGGGACTGGTGTATACATGGTATTAATTGTGTATTGCTATCTGGTAGTCCTTTTCCAATCCTGGAACACACAAGAAGAACCAACAATATATTTGGCAGGGAACATGTGATTTTAATTTTAATTACATGGTACAATGCTCATTGTACTGAACTCCTAATATAGCTAATACCAATCTGCATGAGAGTCATTTGTTTTTAAAAACTTGCTTCCTTTTTGGGGGCTTCATAATCTTCATCACAGGTTCCAAGTGTACAGAGTGCCAACTTATGGTATTTCCTAATCAACCACCTAGACAGATAACAACAAGATCATGTAACACTATTTGGTGTTGGGGAAGAACTTATCTGGAGGAGTCAGGGGGTAGTAACTGTATTATAGAGGCTTCCCTTCTAGGATATCATTTCAAATCAGGCCCATTGTTAGTAGTGACCAAAGTCCTGACCCTACAAGCAGCTTCCTGGGAACAGACTGTGCCCACACACAGTTTCCATATCTTCATTTGGGCACAGAATAACCTAGTTTGGGCCCAGCAGCTGTTACCCTCCTGCTACTTGGTTGCTCACACGAAAATGAGTTGACAGACACAAAAGGAAGAAGTAGCAGGAGCAGGTGCAATGCAGTCTAAAGAAATTGCACGTACTAGCACAACCCTCGTTGCTGATGAAATAGATGACTGAGTTCACTAATACTTTTTTCCCTTCATCTTTATCTCATGGAGTATGCACAGCACAGGCATCCCTTGTGAAAAAGCACCATCTTACATTTTATCTACATTCATTAGCTGGAGAATCTCTCCTTCCCAGGCTTTCATTTTATGTCACCTATTTTTGTATCACAAATATCTATCATAGCCTCCAATGGCTTACTGCTATGCAGTGAACATCTACCACTTTGCAAACTTCTAAGCCAGGGGCAGGGTGGGCAAAATATGACCTTCATGCCAGATCCAGCCAATGAAGGGGCTTTGTCTGGCCTGCGGTGGGTCCCTTGGGCAGGGCTGGCCCAGGTACTGTCCAGCCATGACGTGTCCTGACACCCTCTGGGCATGCAGTGGGGTTGGGGTGGCTTCGCAGTTGTGACTGCCTTTCTAAGTAACCCAGGCAGTGGCAGCTCCTTCTGGCTGCCACCGCCACTGCCCCCAGCTCCGCAGTATAAGCAGGGACCTGCGTGCAGCCCTGATGCTCCCTGTGCCCGGTGCAAACTTGCCTGCTCATGCTGAACAGCTGCAGCAGCATTAACACCAGCAGGACAGAAGTGTGCTCAGCGCTGGGAAAACGCAGCCCCTCTCCCTCAGAGATGCTCCTAGCAGGGTGAGGGGCCTGGGGCAAATCAGCCTGTGTGGGGCCTGGACGCAAAGAAGCCGGTGGCAATGGGGGGTGGGCAAGCAGTCAGACACAAAGCTGGCAGTGGTGGTGGTGCAGTCACCAGCACTAGGCAGGCCCTGCAGGAGGGGCCATGGCCACTCCACCCAGCTCCATGGGGCCTCCAAAGCACGAGGCCAGGGCCGTTGCCTTATTCGCACCCCCAGGGATGGCCCTGACCAATGTTCCTTCTAAGGAGTAGTGGTCCGTGAGTGCACTGCCTCAGTCTGTGAGTGCACTGCCTTGGTTCAGCGTGGGACACTTATCAAAGGAGGCTGGGGGCTGGAGGCCGGGTCCTGGAGCTGGGGGCTGGAGCCGAGAGGCTGGGGGCTAGGGCCGAAGGCTAGAGCTGGGGGTCAGAGGGTGGAGCCAGGGGCTGGAGCCAGGGGCTGGAGGCTAGGGCCGGGGGCCAGGGCCCGGAGTCAGGAGCCAGGGGCTGGAGCCAGGGGCTGGCACGGGCTCCACCGGTTCCAAGTGCTCCGCTCCCCCGCATCAGGGCCAGGGAGTGGAGTACTTCCCCGGAGCTGGCGGAGACCGCGGCAGCC